GATAAAAAACTAGTTTACATGATCAAGGAATGGACTCTCTGCCCATCGATACCACGTTCTTGCTCTGAAAGTGGTTGCTTTGGGGTTGAGCTGTGATGTCGCCGGGCAAACTCTGGTCCCGAAACTTTGCGCCGACGAACAAACCAAGGGGGGTATTATTTGTACATTCCAGCGGAGCTCGCTAATCTGAGATCCAGGAGCCCCACGGGGAGAACAGCATATTTTCATCAACGCCCAAGCCGGCTCCATTTTACCTAAAACAGACTCTGTACAACTCCGGTATCATCCCATCCGCTGGGTAAATGGACTGTCGTTGTTGCATTCTGCTCGCTCGTTCAGCACATCTCTTTGCAGCTAGAAAGTGATGTTATCAAGGGCAGACCAAAAAAAGAACTCCTTCCCGTGTCGAGTTGGCACGTACCTCGGAGAAGGTGGTCCCCAGCTCCGGCTGCCGGGAGTATGCTTGTGATGTGACTCGAAAATATCATCTAGCTGAAGCGTGCTGACTTCTCCACGGTTGTTGTTTTCGCCTTGCAAAGAAAGTTCCACGCTCCGTCATCCAGCATGCGCCTTAGCATACAGATAGCAATGTAATTCTTCCTGTTCTGCCCAGCACAGCTGAATCCAGCTCAGATCGATATGCCAATCGCAGATTAAAAATATGCGGCAGCTGTGTGGTATCTATATGTAATAAGGCAATACGTGTGTTTGTCGTATGTTCCACTACCGGGTGCGCCTTTTTGCAGCACCGCCGAAAACAAAGCAATCAATCACAAATCTCAATATCACCAATCTTACTGTACTAACCTACACGATTTGTTTGATGGAGACCTTACTACCTGAGTTTTTCTGTCTCCAAGATGCAAGGCTGACAGTTACTGACTATTCCAGTCTCTCAATTCATGTAGAAGTAACGATAATTACTTCGACTGGTTTGGGAGGAGAAGTGACTGCCCCAACAGCAGCAAGAGGGCCAACACGCTGTGTCTGCCATCATCTGTGCGCATACAAAATCGCCTCTGTATATCAGTGGCTGCAAACCAGATGGATTTTCTGCGAGCCTTAGGGAATTAGTTCAAGTTTGCCTTGGCTACTGTAAGCCGCGGGCTTGCCGTTCTGACATTCCCATCCTATTGGCAAGATGGGAAACTTATGTCAGTTTTCACAAGCCAACCCAGCCCCTGATGACAGCCACAAGCAAGCGTCCTTCCGCTCCGTGGACAGATCTGGGCTACGCGGTTAGGAATCTGCGACGCAAGGAGATGCAGCATGCCGTGCAGCTATGTTGGTTTGCTAAACCCTACGTCAGGTTTCTTTTTCTTCATTGTCCCCATCAAACAATTTGCTGGCAAGCCCGTTCATTTCTAGGCAAGTACTTGTAGGTTAAAATTACTATGGATGGCTTCGTACAGTAGTCCCGACACCGCCGTGTACATTGGACTCCGTAGTATCTGCCGCAGGAAAGTTCTTATGATGTGCTGGACGTGTTGGATATTTTAGGCAATGCTTTTCATCCATTTAGTTGTCGATGCTCTCAAGAGGACAGATCCCTCTACCTTGTCTGCACTCCCACGGAACATGCAGTGATGTCGTGACAGATAATGCCAGCAAGACAAGAACCAGAACGTGGGGTGCAGCTCGCATCAACGTGGGGTAGCATGGGGCAAGTGCGTGGTACCTACCCCGAATCCCAACCCTGGCCGTTTGCCAAGTTTGGGTCTGAGGAGTGGTAAAATTGATGTTGAGAGGGCTTGTTTGTGTCTTTGGACAGCTTAGTGTATTTCATCACCAACATTATAAAGGTGTACGTATCCAATTTCCTGATAGTAGAATACTTAAACTGACGAAACTGCTCTCTACTCTCGCATCACTTTAGCACCCTTCCTGGTTATCACCCAGTTCCGAAGTGCAACGACCGTGTTGCGGCAAATCAGGCGCTTGGCTGTTGACCTTTGGGCAACTCTTGTGGAATAAAATCGATCAGGCGATTCCAAATGGCTGGGCCATGCCCCTCTCGGTGATCATCATCACGGTTCGCAACCTCGGCTGGGGAATTGCTGTTGTTTGTCGCTGCTTTCGCGAGAAACATTTTCCTACGTTTTGCAGCCCGTTGTTTAAGAACGTGTGCACTCGCCAGCACCCCCAATTGGACACCCCCGTGCTCCAACCCCGGTTTCCCATATTTTCGGGACCACTGAGCGATTTCGGACATTCCTGCAAACATCCCTTTGTTATTTTGCTCTCGACGTGTACACCAGCAGATGCGATTACAGTAAGCAAGACGAGATGGTGGTGTTAGGACCCACAGCATAATTTCCTAACGAGCCCAGCGTCGCGGTATTGGTGCCAAAGTCCTGGGGACGCGATTGATTGTGAAAGTCTCCCGGTTGCGTCGACCGCGGTTTTGGGAAGAATTCTCGGGCTTGGATTTTGGGGTTGTGCTTTCTGCTTGAGCAGGAGGCCAAGACGCCAATGCCCATCACACCACCGGGAACACTTCCGGTAGTAAGTGTGGCTCAGTTGTCATCCAGCTTTGAGGTGCCGAGAGCTCCCTGCCATGGGGAGACAGGGGATACTTCTTCCACGTGGGATGCGCCGGAGCGCTCGCAAGTGGGAGCTCGACAGGCATCAAACTATGAAAAGCCCACAAACTCATGTCAGAAGCCCGGAATGCCTCTAAAAGCTGGCGATTAGAAGGTAGTAGATATAGCGCTTGCTATGTGAAGGTAAACTGACATTGTGTTCGAGGGGCGAATGCTCTATTGATTCCCTGGCGCAGATCCTGGATCCAAACACAGTCTAACCTCTAACTCGTCACCGTGATATATTTGTGACAGCTTGTGATGGACATTATGGTGGCGGCAAACGCTGTTGGAGGACAAGAGAGACCGCGGCAATCGGGAATCAACCGCCCGTGATGGCGCGCTCAAGAGGTCATGAGTAACGGAAGCTGAGTCAACGGCGCGATGCCGTCACCTGGCCCTAACTGACCACTCAGTGTTCGCCAAAACCACGCCGTGTCAGCATTGCGGACAGCCGGCGATTCGGCCTCAGGTCGGCTTCGCGCCATTAGCCAGCGGGTTGTCAGCGACGCGACTGGCTCACAACGGCGCAATGGAATGCCACTCCGACGTTAACTCGCGAACCGTTGCGCGCAGCGATGTTGCTCAGCCTGCCCTTGCCTTCCCATCGCCTTTGCTGCCTGACATTTGACCCGAAAACAGACACAGCAGCCACGGCATTTGAACCTCCAGTGTAATCAACCGGACAGCGCTCGTGGTCACGGGATGATCACCAAGCCTCGAAGAATGTGGACCAGCTCAACGGAGGGCCGGGCCAGTGAGCGAACAGTGGCGACTCCGTTTGCGGGGAAAAGAACGTGGCCCAAGCTTTTCCAGCTGTTCACCTGACTTTGATGTGGACGGCAAAGGTGCTCTACTGCCAGGTGACTTGCTCGGAAGCAACACCGTTCTGGGGAACTCTTCAAAAAAAAGACCCCGTCATCCCGTCATGTGGACTGTACAAGATGACGACAAACGCTGGGGGCGTACCAGTGCATCGGGATGTTTCCCCGGTCTTCATTTGCGAAAAGAGATTTCCCTCTTGGCATTAGACAACGATCCGAGACACTGAAAGCTCGATTCACCGATCGTGGTTTTGACAAGGAAATGAGATAAGTTGAAGCAGACAGGCAAGAAAAAACGATTTGCTTATGTAGGCGTCGATAACTTCAAACACAGGAAGGGCACGAGAAAAGAGCGAAGGCGCGGTGGAGGAAGCTGTTTGTGCAATAGTCGTCGGCAGCCGCGGCTCATGAATCGTTGCGGATGAACTCCGTTGGCAGCAGTTTGTCACCGTTATGCTTGCAATGTGATCATATACATACGGACAACCGTTAAGAGACTTGGGGGTACAGGACCTGCCTGCCCAGATAGGCTTAGGCAGGGCAGTGCGACGCTAGCCTAACCAGGAATCTCTCCTTGAATTTCTGCCTCATCAAGGAAAATGTCACTTCCCCGTGGATCGAAGGGTTCTCGGTCCGTTTGAGCGAAAGCCCCGGCACTTCACTGTCCAAGCACAATGTACAGTACCTGAGGTCCCCTAGTGTCGCGCAGCCAAAATACGAAACCAAATCAGGGATAACAACAATGTATGTAATTGAGCACATTTTTACTTTGTCTATTTGAGGCAGACTGTATGCTTTGAAAAAAATCTGCTATATTTTGCGAACCGGTGCACAAGAAGAAATCGACGTCAATCGGTTGTACTCTACTTCCAGCTTGGGCTGAAACCCCTGCACTCAGACACCCCTCTGCCGTTCCACTTACACCCCTACAGTCAGGGATTGTACAGGTACCGGGAATCAGGCCCAACCAGGGACCGATGTCATGGGTACCTCCCCTGGTGCTTTGCTTTTTCACCGCGAATCAACCCCCATCCCACGCTGCCGTGGACCCGGGGCCCAGGCCCTTGTCGACATCTGGGCCCATCACACTCCCTTATACATCAGCGTCCATCCCGCTCCCACACACCTCACACCATACTTCTCTTCACTCTCCAGCTTCAATACCGCATCACGACCTCGCGCCTTCGACGACTTCATTGACTATCTGCTCCCATTGTGCGAGCAGACGAACGACTTCGGCAACAATCCAGCCTGCTTGAAGTGGTCCAACAACCCCACGCGACTTAACAACCCCAGCCCGCTCCGGAAGGCCGCATCGTCGACGATCGAAGAGCAATCCCGAGGACAGGGCTGACGTCTTTAAAAATTGAGCGAGCAATCCTTACGACAGGAGGCACTGTTCCGATTCGAAAGTCATACGAAGACCCTTATCTTGGCCCAGTTGCGCTTTCGGTGTGGAGCAGATTTCCAAGGACCGCATTCAGCTTTAGTATCCTCCCTACAGGCAGCGAAGAAAACGATCATTGCAACCAATTAAGACCATTGAGTGACATCCCGTATCTGCTCGAGCAGTCGAGCAACATCATCGGTCACAATGCCGCTCTCACTAGAAGCTCCCGTTCTACAAGTGGACGCCAATGTAATCCACAAGGTCGACACGACGAATCCCGCCAACCTCTTCAGCATGTGGACTGGTGAGTTTGATCTGGCAATCCTAATTCGACGTCTGGGCCGTCGTACTGATTCTTACGCAAACAGTCTTTGCGAGGTGTCGCGACTCCGTTGCCCAGGGGAGGAGACTCGAGAACCTGAGCTGGCGGTTATGGAATCGTGAAACATTTTGCTGTGAGAACGACGACATTAGCCTGTCTACCAGCACCACTAGCAAGCCTCAAGACATCCCCCACGGCAATACAGAGGACGTTCCTCAGCTGTCCGGTAGCGTTGACTCTGTTGCCGATGAAGAGGCCGTTGACTTTGGCACGGAATCTGCTCCTGTAGACATTGTCCGCCCGAGGATACGCAGACAGGATTCGTGCGCTAGCAGCCGCAGCCGCGGAAACCAACGCCATATCACTTCGGACGAGCTAGAGAAGATGGTGGTTTCTATCATGGAGTCCAAGGAACCTCTCACTGCCCCGCTCCCTAACATTCCCCGCTGCCTCTCTGTCGAGCAACGTCCGGCCTCTCCTCGGACAGGTTCCACGACGAGCCAATCATCATGCAATTCGTCTGACAACTTGTCGGCGCAGTCGTCCGCTTCAGAGCCCGTTCGTGAAGCTGCTCCGCAGCTACCTAACCAACCACGGGCTACCATCGTCACTCGCGGCTTCTCTCCTGCGCAGGTTCCTGCGACTCTGCTTGCCGCTGTCCAAGCCTCTAAAGCCCCTTCACCGAGTGCCATTCCCGGACCTGACGAAGCCCCGGCCGCTAAGCCAGTCTTCCCAAAGAGGCAACAGGCAAAATTTGCTCTGGGTGGCTCTTCTTGCTCAGAGGACGGCTCTTACCAGCAGCGTGAGATTGAAGCAAGAAGGCAGCCAACTGCTCAGCCGAGGCAAAAAATGTTCCAGCTCGGTGCTTCTTCAGTGGAGGATGACTCACCTAGAGAACAGAGGGTTGCTGCGGCCATGACTGCGCAGAGGAAGAATACCTCGTTCAATAAGCAGGTCGTTACCCAAACATTCAACACTTCCGCTGTCAGCGATTCTGAGGATGACTACTCCGAGAGTGCGATTGACGACAGCGCGATCGACGATGATGATGAATGGGAGGAAGAAGATGGTGAGGAAAGCGATAGCGGTAATGCTCCCGAGAAAATCGAGTTCAGACGTGTCGAATCGACGGCGAACCTGACATCTAGGCGCTCGCTTATCACTCTCATGCTGGCCCAGACACAATACCAAGTGCGGAATCAAAGCAATGCCCGCCCCCAAAGATTTGGCAATGGTATTGCGTCTCAATCGACTTCCGCGCTCCACCGTGCGGGTCGCCCTCAATTAAACGGACCGACCGTGGTCAACTCACCGAACGACTCCGACGAGGCGCCGCTTATGATGAAGAGGAACAACAACCGGGCCCCCCCAATGCGCCCTATCAACGAGATCCCGAGATCGGCCGCCCAACCCATTAATGTGGCCGCTCAGGGCATGCACTTCCAGGCCGCGCTGTCTCCGCGAACTACTCGGCGAAACATGCTCGCCACCGAGCTCACCGAGTCCCTGCGGCGGAATCTCCTGCGGGAGCGGTCCCAGAAGTCGTCAACGGCCAACGCAGTTCTCAAGCGTAGGCATACTTCACACGACATTGCGAACCTGAGGCAGTTTCCTGAAAAGCCGTTCATGAAGAAGGAGGAGGATGCCAACGCGAGCAGCTGGGATCAGTACTTCCAGAACCCCTTTGCCGGCTATTCAGCTCAAGCCTGGTGAACTCAATCCACCAATTACCTCACAGCTTGCCTTACCCTCTTGTCTCTTTTTCCCGACATGTCTTCTCATCTTACATGATACCCTGGGAGGCAAAACATCTTTGCTTGCAGGTGTTTAAATCCTGCTGTGTATAAAATGGATTCTGGCACGGCGAGCGGGCATTTCTCTTTGTTTGTTTTCACGACATACCTCATGACTGGCTGGCGTTCGATACCCGGTTCGCATTTTTGGGAAAGGGGAAAACAGGGATGGGATGGACTTAACATCCCCTTAATCCTAATCAATTCCCTTTTTATCATTCTAAAGGTTACACTTCCCCTTGATGATACCACAGTCTGCATCTTTTCTGTTTTATCTCTATCTCGAGAGAAGGATACCCCAAGGGTCTATGCTCTAAGGTAGGGAAGCATGGGAAAAGGAAACAGGGATTACGGCGGCAGGCAGCCGCGAGTTTCTTCGGACTAGGCGCGTTTGTTGTGTGTTGGTGTTTTGTTTTCTTTCCTTCCACACCGGTGCGGGTCTTTCTGAAAGAAAGAGGAGTTGTGAAGAGTTTTTCCGTGGTGGATGCTTCTGTCTACACTAAAGAGCCAAAAATTGAGTGGGTGGGCTTGACAAAAATCCTCCGATGTGTGCGGGGTTGCTGGAGAAGCAACCCACTGCATTGGTACTGTTAGTTTTTGCGTTGTCAAGACTTCTGCCCAGAGAAAAAAATTTTAAATGGTTAAAAGATAGGGAAAACAATTGAAAAGAATTATAAAACCTTTCGTCTCCTTTGCAATGACTGCTCAATGTCTCAAAATAGTTGATGCTTGGTTGTGAATGTGAGAGAATTGCTGTGTCTCTTAGCACCGGGGTGGATCCCCATCACAATCCACCCACCAGGGGAAGCCACACATTCTGCAAGAACGGCCCCGCTGAGGGGTTGCACCAGTCTCAAACCCACATCACGAGGACAACAAAAATTCAGTCAGCCATTGCTACTCTTTCTTTTCAGCCAGTTTTTGCCGGAAGTCAAAGAGATAGCAGTGACTTGTTACTAAACATTATCATGTCAATTGAAAAGTCAATTCCTCTTGGTTTTCTCCAATGCTACGGCGTGGTTTATCCTCCATCTTTTAACACTTGTCCGTCTTCGCATCCCCCCCAAATCGTCTAAACGTTCTTCATTTTAGAAGCGGAGTGAATGAGGATAGATAAAAACAAGCCAGCTCGGCGGTTGCCGCAATCTATGATGGCCTGGTTACTGGTCGATCACGTCTCTGGGATATAGTGGCTAGGTTCTAGGACAAACAATGAAATTCTACAAGCATGTGATTGAACTGCTAGCAGAACTACGTCACAGATAATATCGTCAACATCATTGTTTCTAACGTCAGATCCTTAGCCTGAGCTGGGCGGTCATCTAAGTCCCTAATGAGGCCACCGTTAACCGGGCCTTTCCCAGAACCAAATCTGTTGGGCCAGCAACGCAACCTTCTTTATGGCGGTTGGTTAACATTTAAGCCCGTATGCTGGGGTGTTCCGGAAAGGATTTTCTAAAGCCTTTTTTTCTCTTTAGTTGAGTTTCCAGAGGACACCATTGTCCAACGCCAACTGGTTGGAGCTACCGGAAACGTTTGACGGGAAACTGCGTTTTCCGTGGACATCGCCATCATGAAAGAACCTGGATGGAGAGGAGACGATGCGGCCAGGGTTGATAGGTTTCGCGATAGTTATGAGAGGTGGTATTAACTCTGGGTCAGGGGCTAGTCTCGATAAGCCGTTGGCGGTTTGGCTGTGTAAAGAGGACGCAACTTGGCAGGCACGCGTGCACCCCTCCGTTTCCACCTCAGAACGTTTTTACCACCATCACACGCAACCACATCCGATTAGATCATCGATGAAGTTACACGGAATGACCACTAACCCGACCGGGTGCTCTCTGCCATGTGCTACAGTGTTATCTGTGACCAACATGTGCGACCCGACTTATATCCCCCATGGTCCTGATCCTGCCCCTCGTTGTCCATGGTACCTTTTGACTGTTTTACCATGGGTTATGTCAGCTGATCACGCACGGTCAGACGTTGTCATCAGATCTCGGGACCACATTCCGTTCCTTTTTTTTCTCGGGAGGGGTACCGGCCCGATGCTGAAGGTTAGCATAAGGTAGGGGTTGTCATCAGCCATTGCAACAGGCGTCAGGTTTGAACACATGGATAATAGAGTAGGAAAGAAAGCAGCCGGCAACTACTGCTACGAGACGGCAAAAGGAGGGGTAATATCGGCTTGGTAATAAGGCTTGGTGGCTTGCCTGTCGGGCAGATGTGCTTGACTGGTCTGCAGATCGTTGCTGCCGACCTGCATATGGGGCCATCGTCGCATGCACGCCGCCTTAGATCGATTCCTGGAAGCTTGGCGCTGCACTACAATATGTTTAGGGACGAGTAGCAAAAGTTTGCTGCACAACATCTTCGTTGTCTGGTTTGCGAGGGGCGGAACTGGACAGTAGTTGATTACGACGGCCTACCTCGCTGCCTTGATGATGAGGGCCTCTCGGGCTCAAGCTGTTGATAGGCTCTCCGGTGGAGGAGTTTAGATTCCCAATGTCTTCAACGATCTATCTTGTCAGAGTAATTGCCCCACACCAGGCAGAGATGCGTGCTGAGTTGTCTCATCACTTGCTGACCCAAGCATACCTCTCGCCAACAAGGCTGTTTCTCTTACGCATTCGCTTTTGTGGGTATCAAGAAGCACTAAGCTCATCCCACTCGGGAGGTGACCTGCCCCTCTAACCCCTCTGCCCCGCCTCGGGTGGCAGCGGGACAAGAGTGTCATCTTAGAGCCCAGATTTGAGACCCGGGTCTAGAACGATAATGAACTGGCAGTCTTGTGGTTTCAAGATTCGTGTTGAAGTGGATAATAAGACACGAAGGGTAGAGAATACGAAGTAAAAAAGGCATGAATGATATCGACTCAAGTCGGCATACATCATGGGGCATGTAGATAACGGAAGAGCCAATCACCAACGGCGCTCCGTTTTGGAGCAGTTTGTCGCACTTGTCTGCTCCCCGTGGCTTGCTGCATGCTGCCCCGAGAGCTCGATTGCATCAAAAACAGCAAGACAAGCCGCCCGCCATCACTACGTCTTATGTCTGTCGTTTGCTTTGGTCTAAACTTTGAAAGCTATCAATTGTTTTGTGTGCAGCTACCAACTTCGGAGGGCTGCGAGAATGAATGCCAGGTGACATGGGCAATTGCTATCGAGGCCGTTTTGAAAACGGAAAGCTCTGCCACGTCTTCAAGTTGCGGGCACGTGGTGAAAAAAAAAAAAGGGGGTCCCCGGAATTTGCGAGGGAGCGTCAGCCATTCACCATCGACGAACAACACCAAACGGCAAAGGACAACAGAAGCGCGATGCGGCAGGGCGTTCAGTGCGATACTCACACCCCTTGGACTCACACTATGCGATCGATATCAAGATAATTCTAGATTCCTTATTTTAAATAGTAAGAATATTTTTTTCATTTATCTGAACATTTCGTGCAGCCATCTGGCTAGCCCTACAGCGACGCCACTGCATCTCCATCGGGAGGGTCTAACAACTCATCAAGCATCACCGCCCGTGGCGGCAGCTGCAAGCTTGTGCAGCGCTGCTGCATCTCAGCTCGAATCATCTCTCTCTGGCCAGATGTTGCCGCCACCAAAACTTGAGCACATCTTCCGCTTCGCGCTCCGTTCCAATCTTGAATTACTAATACGCGGCCTGGGGGGGGCCTTTACCCCTCTTCTGCCCTTCTCCTCTGGCAGTCCATCTTACTGAACTCAAGCAGAACATGGCGTGGATCCTTGATGAAGATCATCAAGGGAGGGGCAGTTCTGCGGGCTTGCTCGTTCGTGTCAATTCTTCGCCAGCTCTCATCATACATCAAGCCATTCGCCTAGCTGGCTAGCTAGCTGGCCGGCTCTGATGCAAGACAGACCTGCTTTGCCGCTTGGCGCGGCTTGCGTGATGGCATCCGCCAGACTTTTTACCTTGGCCTCTGGGCCGATATCTACGTCTGTGTCCCGCGTCCCGCAGCGCGTGCCGTGTCTGCGGGGGAAGGGAGGGTCGGCCTGTCGTCTGGCTGGCTCATAGCCATGGACAAGTCATCAAGATGCTTGTGGTAGTGGCACGCCCTGTCCGGCGGCGAGCGCCCGCTCTCCCGTCTCGTGGTGAACCTCACCGACTTTTCGGTGATGCCAGTCGTGCTTAGTGAGAGGAAGCTGCTTGATGTTTTATGGGTTATTGACAACTGATTGCTTCACGAGCGAACCTACTATGCTATCTGCTGTCTTGCCCATGCTTTAGCACAACCGTGATCGTCATGCCCAACTGCGGGGTGTGGGGGACAGTACCAGTTTGAGATGAAAACCAGTATGCACTACTTAGGGTCTCAGTCCTTTGTCAAATATTTCGCCATGTGAGGTGTTGGGATAGTTCTCTCACATCGCCACCGGATCGCCAATAGTCGTGATGATCATCAGCGGTGTTGGCATGCCAGCAGCTAAAGGGAGATCCCGGGGTTCTTGGTAGCCACCCCGCTGGCTCGTGCTCAACCGACTCATCCGCCATCGTGAACTTATTAGGCATGAACAACACCGACTCCTGCTCTGCTGTGCCAAGGAAGCTCACCTATCAACCATGGTGAGTTGTACGGAAATATTGAAGATTCCATGATCCCCGGATTGGGAGCCAAACATCGAGCTAATGCTGGCATGTTGAAGCTGTCAATCCTGCCTGCTTCTGGCCCCAGAATGAGCATCTCATTGGTTATCATCACTAACCTACTGCACATATTTGTCATGACAGTAGTTTTCGTTCAATTCCATTCACTTCTTTCGAAAAGGATCCCATACTACGTGTTCTCGCCGATACGGAGGACAAGTTCGCACCGGAAGTCTCAGTATCTCCGGACTGATGTCGGTGAATCCCGGCGCAGACGTTCCTCGAAGCCGGGCGGTATCCACCGTTACCCGGT